CCGCTTGAAGGCGTAGGGTGAGTTACCTGACTTCCCTGGGCTTTCTGCTTATCTAAAATTAGCGGGCTGACCTGGAGATCACTGAGGAACTTTCAGTTACCGAACGCCTGCCTTTCATCCTCAAGCCTCACGCTTGATGTCTGTGGTCTCCCCTAGGTGGCAGGATTCTACCAGCACATTACAAAGGGGCCTTCTGACGGTGCCGCGGGAGAAAATTTCAGAGAAACTCTTTTCTTTGGTACATTTTTTTAAAAGCAGTAGGGAAAAGAATGGATGCAAAGACAGTGCCCTATATATTTCTGAAAGACCTCGATCCAGTTTTAATACAAGAATAAAATAGAAACTTAATTTCTTTTGCCTTCGCGTTCTCTTTCATGCAACTCTGCACTTTAGCATTAAAATCAGGTAAAACTTCGGGCTGTTTTTTCATCCATTTTAAACTTTGTTTTAGCTAAATGTCCATTAGGAAATAGCACTTCCCTTGAGCAATACTAGCAGTGTTTTAAGCTAAGTGTGTTCTAAACAAGCTAGTGAGTGATAACAAAAACATTGACCATTGTAATGAGTTACTGGATGCCTTACAAAGTCCTCCTTAGTTGCTGAACATTTGAAGTATCTTCGATTTTTTTTTCTGAGTCCTTAGCCTCAGAATGAGCACGCATGGTAGAATATGCTAACTGAAACTTTGCATTTATTTGTCAAAGCCTTAGAAGGGCATTCTTTTAAATAGATCTGCTGACATCCCATCATACTTTGAAAATGAGTGCCCCAAACTGGCCTATCCATGCGTGCTGCATAATAAATGTCACTATCAGCACTTCATGAGGGTCTCCAAAATATCCAAGCCAAGCGTTAAGGCCAGAGCTGAGCATTTCTCTGCTACAGCCAAGCAGAGACGTGAAAGGGGAACTCAAGGCGCCTTCTAGCACTGCCCAGAGGAGAAGCACCGAGGCTTGGTGCTGGTCAGATGACGAGCCAGGCCTCTTCTCCAGCTAAGTAGGACGCTCTTTTTGTCCCCCTACTAATTGCTAGATACTGACATAATCTACGCTACACGTTTCTCTTCTTAAAAAACAACACATCCTAAAGAAATTAAACGCCAGCACCAAAATCAAAGTAATGCATAGACTTGTAGGTCAGAACTTGAGAAAGCATCAACAGGTTGCTTCGCGCCCTCCTTCCTGGCCAGGGCATGCCGGCTGGCACCTCCTTCCCCGCTCCTACCTTGGCGACTTGTAAGGGCTGCTTCTGCTCGCGGCCACCTTGCAGGCGGAAGCCCCAGGGGGCCCCTCCGCTCATGGAAATGCAGATACAATCCCCGGTGCCCATGTCTTCCTTTCAGGCGGGCAGCATGAAGAGCTCGCGGGGATGGGAGTCTCGGAAGCAGCGGAGGATGCGACCCGGGCTCCGGCCTCCGCGAGGACGAGGGCTAGGACGAGGACGAGGGCTAGGACGCCCGCGCTGGCCCGGCCCCCGGTGACTGCGCGCTCTCGCCCGCCCGCCCGCCAGCGCCGGCACCGGACTCGGCCCCTCCTGCGTCACACGCGTTCGGCCCACCTTGGCGACAGCCGCGCCCAGCCAGTCCTCGGGGGCTGGACGGGCGGAGGCAGGACGACGTCCTCCCGCGTTAACAGATTGCATTCCAGCGCCTCGGAAGCTGTAAGTACAACGACGAGACTCGAGGTTAACGTTCTGTGTAGGAGAGGACACGCATAGGAAGGTTTGCTCTCCCTGCTAAAATGTGCGCCCTGAGAACTCGGTGCTGCAGGAAGATTTCAGCTGCGTCGGGGGTTCCACACTGATGAATGGGTGAAAGAGACAAGAGGAGTTCCAGGGGATAAAGTATTTTTCTATCTGCAGTCTACGGAAGTAATCCCATAAGAAGAAGGAATAAAACAAAATATAAACATTTTGTTTTAGTCTTCTACTTTGAAAAAAGTACTTTTCGAACTATGACATATATATTTAAAGGAGAGAGGGAGAAAGGAGAGGCGAGGGGATACAATTTTCCTCTGGAGAGGGGAGAGGAGTCAGAGGAGAGAGAAGGGAGGAAATAAAATTGCATGGTTGGGGTATTTTAAATTTAAATAAGTGTTTCATTTCATTCCTTTCTGCTGAACTTAAAACTGAATCCAGTAGACAGTCAGCTGCATGCAATGTCAACTACAAGTTTCCTATTTTTCTGGTTTGTCATCTGGTAGACTGAATCTGGGTGGCCCAATCTGAAAGGGGATTTTATATGTGTTCCAAAATATTTTATAAGTTTAAATTTGAATACAATTTACCAAAAATGTACAAATGGGACATCTTAACATCCCATAATAACTTTCCCTTAATGGTCATCCACATAAACACACAAAGCAAAGACGAGCCTGGGGAAACCCAAGTTACTTGTGGTGCCAGCCTCAAGTGACTCCCAGACCCACCAGTCTTCACAGCCAGCTGCACCAGTGCGCGTTTCCGCTTCCCAGCAACTGTCACTGGGATGAGGGGGACAATGAGGTTAGTGACCCTGGATAAGCATGGAGACGCTCTGTGGTTCACAAAGGCAGATACTCGCCTCAGATTCGATTCTCTTCAGAAGGGTGAATTAGCTTTGGCCAAGTCTTTTTTTTAAACAAGTTGTGACCCAAAATATGTGCTCTGAGGAGAAAAGGAAATAAAAGGACTGTGCATATTTGTTACCTCTACTTTTTCTTGTCTCCTCAAACCATGTGTGAGTCTGTCCCACAATAGGAAAAGGTCCAGGCAAAGTCACTTGCGACCTCTTTTTCTGTCACGTGTTCCATTTTGACCATGTCCTTACATTGTGTGCTCCCATAGGCTACGCACCCACAAGGCCCTGGCTTGCCTCTCGCCTCTCTAGGTATTTCTTCCTTCCCTTCTTTGCAAGTTTTCTGCTTTCCTGTTCCATTATATATTTATTTTTCTCCAGAAGTCCGACTGATCCCCCCTATCTATTTATTTATTTATTTATTTATTTATTTATTTGCAGAACCAGGGATTGAACTCAGGCCCTTGCACTTGCCAGGTAAGCACTTATTCTATTGAGCTATCTGCCCGGTTCTGATCCCCTTTTGTCCTCACTTTGTACCTTTCTTTCTGAGGGTCCTCTCATTCATCCTACAGAATTGCAATGAGACTCACATATAGTATTAATATTTTATCTAACTTGTCATTGTGCTAAGTAGTTATTAGTGTCTCTCTTGCTGGTATTTAAGCTGTAGATCCTAAGTTGTACAGCCAGGTTTTGAATGTGTTGCCCTAAATGTAAAAGACCTTTCTCCCTTCCTTTCCCCTCTCTCTTTTCTTAATCCTGGCTCCTGGCCTATGTACTCTCCCCTTTCCCTTATCAAATGCATTCACTTAGCCAGTAAGAGCTATGGCCCTGTAGTGGGCCTCTAGCTGCTGATCAGCTTGGTACATCCAGCTAAATTAAACAAGTGTGGAGCTGGATGTGGCAAACTCTGAGGATTATTGCCAGCAAAAAAAGAGGCAAAACTGGAGAAGGCTGATAGGAATGCTGATCAGAGAAGCTGTTGGAGCTGTTGGAAGCTACTGGTTCTCTCGGGATGTCCTGCTGGAGGATCACGTCAGGCTGGCTTTCCCAGTGAACTTGGTTGCTCTTGTCAGAGGAGGGGCTCAGGACCACACTGTCACTGAAGATGGCTTCAGTTCATTTTGGGAGAGCTCTGGTCCTCATCTTGAGCATTGCTTGCTGGCTCCAGAAAGGAAGATGGTGCACTGCTCAACCTCGTGGAGAAGCCTGTCACATTGGCTCTTTTGATGAGAACTCAGCTTTCCTTACCCCCCAAGGAGCTCACAGCCTCACTGTCGCTGGGGACAGCTGTGATGCTTTTGCAGGGAGCTTCTGTACTTAGCTTGAGCGTTGCTTCCTGGCTCCAGTTCAGATCCCTCAGCCTGCTAGCACACATCCTTCGCCCTGCTGGCGTAGACTTTCTAGCTTCCATTACTGAGCTTTAGGCCTTTCCAGCACAAAAAGTAGGCCTGCATGAGACATTGTCTTGAGCTCCAGGCTTCCAGCTGGACTTCCAAGAGACATTGTTAAAGGCTCTAGGTTTTCAGCTGGGCTTATGCAGGATGTTAGGATCCAGGCCTTCTGCTGGATTCTTTGGCTTTTAGTACATGGACAGATTTCCCACATTCTTTGTATATGACTCTTTAGGTGATTGTAAAATAATCTTATAAAATGTTTCCTGTGTTGCGTTGTTCCCTTGCAAAAACCCCAAACCATGACAGGGTCCAACTTTGAACTAGATTATAAGTCTGTTCCTTCACTCCATACCTCCTGCCATGATCATGTCTGTCCCTGGCCTGGACTGTGAAAAATCTTCTAACTAGGCTCCCAGATCCAGGCATGTTCCTACTCTCAATTCTTTTCTCACTCTACAGCCAGGATAGCATTTCTGAAATATGATACCTGTATTGGGTTTTTTTTTTTTTTGTTTTTTGTTTTTCCCCTCCGTTTAAAATCTTCCAGGCCTCTGAGAATAAAATCAAAGCTTTTTTACATAACACTTTCTGCCTCCCACTTCCCACCTCTTCCCCCACCGCTCACTGTTCCTTACGTTGGGTTTTATGATTCAGACACATAGAAGTACTTTTGGTTTCTCCAACTTGCTTTGTTGTTCCATCTGCTTGGGCTTTCTTCCAAGCCAGCTAGTCCCTGCCCACCCCTACCTTGCCTCACAATTCCCACTCATCCTTCCAGCCTCTCATTCTCCAGGAAGCCTCTTGTAAACCCCCACCCTCCACGTCAGATCCACCCTCAGTGTGTTGCCATCTCTTTCTACTTTCTCTCACATTCTAATAGTTTCTTGACATGTCTGAATCACTACTACACTATTAACTCTGAGAGGTTGTGGATTAATTTTGAGTTATTGAGAACTATATCTCAATGTAATTTCTGACAAATAATTCATATGTAATTCATTTGAGTAGAAAGATAAGATGTCCTAAAATTAAGGTATAGAAAAAAGAATCAATGTATTTGAGCTTATTTTGTTTTCCTCCACTTCATTTACTCAGAAAACTCTTAGATAAGCCAGCAGTCCTAAATTACACCACAGAGAAACTATGTGAGGCAGAGATATCCTGTAGCTATTGGTTCATTAAAAATTGATGCTCTCTAGAGACTGGGTATGGTAGCACTCAACTGTAATACCAGTGTTTGGGAGGCTGAAAACAGGAGGATCACTACAAGTCCAATCTCTGTAGTGAGCCCCTGTAGACCTGGTACTAACTACATAAAAAAAATGATGTCACCCTGGGAATTGGCTCATCTAAAGCAACTGCAGTTTGTCTTTCCTCCTTAAAACAGAAATTAACCTGGCCTAAATCAAAGAATTTCCCATTGTCCCAGTGATTATTCATCAAGGACCAATCACCTCAGAGCTCAATAATTTTCTGGGTAGTTATCAGAACTAGATCTTTTACCTGTAGTTAGTGACACCAACCAAGGAGAGAAGCTGGAGTGAAGATAGAGCATCCTAAATCATGTTGGGCAAGACTGACCCATAGTCACTCTCATGCTCCTGTAGGTCTTACTGGGTTTGCCAGAATGCGAGATTCTATGACTCTTCCTGAGCCATTTCTCAGCATTGTGTTTGAGGGAAACAATACTGAGGGATGAAGTAATACCTCAGATTGGACCAAAGAGTGCTTTACTAGCTGACTCTTGTAAAAGCAACCAGTTCTGGAAGCTTGATGTTTCTTAGCAGGGACACAAACCCATGTACTTGTGGCATCCACCTAGATCTATTGTGCGACACAGACGGGCACAAGGTGAATGGAGGCAAACACAGAGATGCCTCTGCTGGTTGAGGTGTCTTCAATAATGAATACCTTTGCCTGACACAGAAGTCAGATGTCTTCTTTCGGCATCTATAGAACAGTAGCAGGCTAATTAGCCATTTACAAGGCCATTATAACAAATCCCAGACACAACAGGATGAAACTGAGGTATTAATAAAGAAACAGAATCAGAGCTTTGATCAAATAGCATGTATATCTACTCTTCATTTCGTTTGGATGTTAAGAATAAAATTCAGAGCCAAAAAATTATTTTCTAAAGAAAAACATGACTTAATTTTATCAGTAGTCTTCAAGAACTATCCCTGGTTCCTTCCCTCGCTACTTTCCTTCACCTTCTAATAGTCTATTTTAGTAAATGATTTCACTATGACTAACAATCAATGTACCAGATGCTCTGTTTTATTCTCTCCTCCACTCGAGTATTAATGGATTCAGCAGACAGTAACCATTTCCCCACAGCAGAAGTTTTCTCAGCTAACATGAACAGGAATGCCACATTGTAAGCCAATGTCTTCCATTAAGAATGACATAGGGATAGAGGGATGGGGGAGGGAGGAGAGGGAAAAGAACGATGAAAGGATTAAGATGTGATATGTACATGAACCAACTCCCCATGGTGAATTTATTCATTATATATCAAAAATATGCACTATGAATAAATA